CCCGACCCAAAAGTAGTTACCATATTGTCTCTTTCCTTGAAATCCTTGAGTACAACTTCGTATACTGTAGCATTAAGTATATCAAAACAGTGTAAAACCATTTAAGAGAATGACAGCATTACAGAGTATTTAGAATCGACTAACAGAAAATGAACAATGTTTTCTGTATAATCTCCTTGTCTTTAAAAGGTTTTTGCTTATACTATCGTACATAATAAAATCCAATAAGATACAACCTATTTAGACCATTGGAGACAGAAGAACAAAAGCTAGATGAGACTTCAAAACAAGATGATACTAAATCAGTATTACCTATTAAGATGTCATTTTCTCCAAAATAGCTGTTCACATTTGGTTTTACTCTCTTCCAAAAAAGCAAACAAGAATCGTGGGAGCAATGAAACCCAAAATGTGTAATAGTCATTGTACAAAAGAGAGGAAAAGAAAGTGCTCTAAACTATATAACTGCATGTATTTTTAAGTGTATAAGATAGAAAATGATATCACTGAGTTTTATTGGATCATTGAACAGACTGTTTGCAGTATCATTGTTGGAATGTCCACTTTACAAGCTTTAATTTTGTGACTTGAACAATTATTTCTAAGATGACAATATGTAATCCATTAACTAGTGATTTCCTTCCTACTGTTCTTTTGTTTTTCTATAAATCTGTATAACTTGTACCCTTTCTCTGCTTTTTTTTCTTTTCTCCTTAAATAAAATTTAAAAAAAAAAGAAAGGATATGAGTTTCCTAGCAAATCAAATCATCACAGTGACAAATCACTTATCAACTATAGCTTACATATCATTTTAGACAGGAAAATAGACTTGAAGCTAAGGTTATCATATGACTACTTGAACCAAAAATGATGGAGGAAGGAAGAAACTTAGTAGTAAAGAAGCAACCCTAAGAGGCCCAGGAAGAAATAGCTGTGGACACGGAAAAGGACTGGGACATTCTTAGGGGAGAGAGGAAGAGAAAAAGTAAATCTGTGAGTTCTTTTTGGTTTGAGTCCATAGAGTTCACCAGGTCCTGAGGATAACATCAGTTATAACCTGAATGACCACTTAAATCTGAATGGCTAAGGAAATGTTCCCTAAAAGGGGATCTGGGACATCAAAAGGATTGAGTTTATGCCCTTCAGTTTTGAGACAGTGAGGGAAAAAGGAAAAGAAGATCAAAAGATCAGTTTAGTAGACTTCTCTTAGGGTAAAGTGTTTGGAACTTGCACATGTATATGCATTTAGAGGTTGATTTCTTAGCTGTAACCCAGAAATTGGTTCTCTCCACTGTGTCTCAGTATGGGGTTTCTCATATTGGTTGCATGAGAAACCTTGCTAAGACATTGGTTAGGAGCTTCATCCTTATTTTTGTGTCTTCCTCGGTAAGTAAGATTTTTGGATTCCCATTTAGTACAGGGACAGGGTGTGATTCTAGCCTAAAAAAAACACCTAGTGAGACCACTGTGCATCCTGGAGAGTCCCTTTGGACTACTCTTTTCAGTATGGTTAGAAGGAGCAAATGCCTTTAGACCTTCATTCCTTTTAGAAGCCTTTTTCTAGAAGCTTGAGAGATTCCAGATACTGAAAAGCAAACCAGAAGCTGTAGGGGTTTATGGCAATAGAGATGGTGCATAAACAGAAACCTGAGAGATGCATGAAACTCTTCTTGCTCCTGGTGGATGGTAAAATTTTCCATTCCATGGCTTCATTATCTTTTCATGGGAGTTTTCTTTTCACATGGCAGATACTGTGCTGGAATTTCAAGGTTACACTGAGTGACCAAGGACACAAAAAGTAGTAAAGAGAGGCAAAGACTATAAAATCTGCCACCAAAGGGCCTGAGCTCCTGGCTATGCTGGCTGTGAGTTCCCAGATGGTTTCCTGGGTTATTATGCATGATGAACAAAGAAATGGACATTGCATGAGACAACAAGAAAAAAATAGTAAAGTTTAATCATGTGACTCAGTGAGTGGGCTTGTATTACTGAAAAGAAAACTGCAATAGTGATGAGAACCATTGGTTTTGGAATATAAAATGTTGTGCTGGGCGAGGATACCTCTAGGGGCTTCCAGAGCATTATTGGTCATATGATGGATAAGGTGCTGAGTCATGTCCTCTGTGTGTATTACTCATACCCTTTTCATAATTCATTCCATTATAACTGTATGTATGAGATGAGGTCAAAACGTATGAAGCTTCAATGAATTCTAGGTGAGGAAAGGTTACTGTAGATCATGCAGGAACCCATAAATTCTGGTTTGGGATTTTTGGAATTTTCCTGGGTAGGCTCAGGGGCCTTTAATTTTCTTATCTCTTCTTGTAGGTAGTAAGCCTTAGGACAAAAGTTGAGGGATAGGCCTTGGGATATTGCCCTAGTTCGGGGGAATGGAAGGGTGTTCCAGCAGCAGCTGGAAAGGAGAGGAGCACTAACTGTTCTATCTATATTTGTGGGGTGCTAAAGTCTCCAAACATTGTATTAGAATCTATCTCTACCCTTAGCACTAATGGTTTCCTTATGTATTTGGATTGTTCTGTGTGTATATATGTGTGTGTATGTTTGCCTTATATTCTAATTTAATATTCCCCCTAATAATATATAATTAAATTCTTTATTTCCTTTTATAGCTTTTGATTTAAAGTCTGTTTCAACTAATATGAAGATAGCTAGTAATAATTTTTATTTCCACATGTGTGATATGTCTTTTTTAGCTTTTCATTTTAGTTTATATGTATCTTTAACGTTTTTATATGCAGCATGTAGTGAGGTCTTTTTTAAATTCAGTCATTTTTTTCTCTTTGTTATGTTTATTTACATTCAAGATTATCATTGATAAATATGAACTTATTTCTGTCATTGTGTTAATTTTACTATGATACATTTATACTTCTTTTTCACCTCTTTTATTATTTATTTTCATGACTTGGTAGTCTGTGGTATATTTGTACAGTTATTTTTTGTGTATTTTGGTGTAGATATATATAGTTATTTAACTATACATATATAGTTATTTATTTTGTGATTTGGTAGTTTATGATTTTATGCATATATACATATATATTTTGTTTTCACCTCTTTATTTTGTGTCTTGATAGTTTTATGATGTACTAAATTCTAATTCTCATGGACTTCTGTTTTGTTTATCCATTAGTCTAGTGAGTATTGCATGGTTATGCTTTTATGGTGCTAATTACTATCTTTCCTATATGTTGCAGGACTCCTTAAGTATTTTCTCTAAGTTTGGTTTGATACTGATGAATTTCCTTAGAGTTTATTTGGGAAAGACCAGATTTTTCCTTCAGTTTTAAGGGATAATTTTGCTGAGTATTCTGGAATGGGAAACCTTTTTTCTGTTTCATTCAGTGTTTGGTATCTATCTTCCATCTTACTATTGTTTTCTGATCCATAAAGTTTCTACAAAAAGGATAGCATGGGTATGATATGATCATCCTTTTGACTTGACAAATATCTCTTGTGATTTTTTAGGATTATCTCTTTGTTGTGTGACTTTAATATTTTGATTACATGTTTTTGTGCTAGCCTGGTTTGGTTGATTCTAGTGGGGGCTTTGTGTTTCTTGGTTCTGGATGTCCATATCTCTTTGAAGGTTGGGAAAGTTGGTATCATCATTTTGTGAAACAATTTTTAAAACCTTTTTCTTTTCTTCTTAAGTTTCTGCTATACCTCTATTTGGTCTCATCATTGTACTCTGTCCCACGTGTCTTATAGGCTTTCTTCCTTCTTATAAATACATTTTCTTTTTTTACATTGGCTGTGTTAAATTTTGGCCCTTCTGGGGCCAAAATGCTTCCACTGCTCAATCCAGTCTGTTGCAGAAGGTCTCTATTGTGTTTTTCACTTTACTGATTCAAGGTTTTAGTTTCTAATTTTTTGTGGTTGATAACTTATTGGTGAATTTTTGATTCACATATTTTGTATTTTCTCATTGCCTTATGTTTTTTATTACATTCTTTTGTGTCCCATTGAATTTCCTTAGAATCATTATTTAAAATTCTTTGTCAAGGAGTTAATGAATTCCCTTCAAATTCACATCTCTTTCTGTAGGTTTTTATCCTTTGGCACCATCCTGTTTGCTTTTATGTTTCTTGTGTCCTTACAAGATGCTTGTGCATCTGGTGTGGTGTTCACTGTGCCACGAAGAGGAGTCCAGGCAGTAGGGTGGGTGGTGGTGAGACTTGTTTACAGAAAACGCAGTTCTATGGTTTGGGGTTGATTAAGACATGTTTACTTTTTGTGCTCAGGTGATGCATTCATATACTGGGTTTTGGCCAGAAGGCATTTCAGTTTCTAAGTAATAGACATGGGGAAATTTTGAGCTGTCTTTGCCAACCAGAGTCAAGGAAGTGGGGAGGAGGCCTCTGTTAGAACATGTTGCAGTAGTGCCATTGCTGGCTGATTTCTAGATCTGCAGAGCTCTGCCAAGAATTTGAGCACATGGGCTATGATGAAACTGGGATTTTTATAATGGTCATTATATTCTCAAACTTGTGGTTGAGGATGAAATCTTCCTCTATTTCCAAGTGACAAGCATAGGTAGGTCTCAAGCTTGTGGCCATGGCAGCTTCTGCTCCTGAAGTTGCAGAATGTTAGAACGTGAGGGAACTCTTTTCTACTTCATGATTTGCTCAAATCCCATCGTCTTTTGGCCAGGACCAATGTTTTCCTGCCATCACCTAAGCCATTAATTCATGCTGTCTTTGAAAACATAATGAAGAATCAATGAAAAAAGAGAAATGAGGTCAAAATGTTTTTATAGAATACAGAAAATGTATGAGTTTGAGAAATTGTTATCACTTTGGATATTTGGGTCATGATGTTCTCTATAGAGAGTTAATATATATTTGCAATAGAAATAATTCCTGATTATATACATGTTTTAAAGTTTATATTTATGGTTTTAATTTCTCCCTGGGGCTTCCTACATGGAACATATATTTTCACTAAAATTTTTACATGTTTGTGTTTTCTCTTGTAGGTCTACAATAATTTTCCCAAACTCATTGATTATCTTCCAGGAAGTCACAACAGATTTGCTAAAAATTTTTTTTATCTTAGAAATTATATTTTGGACAAAGTAAAAGAACACCAAGAATCACTGGATATTAGCAATCCTCGGGATTTTATTGATTGTTTCCTGATCAAAATGAACCAGGTAAGAGGCAAATATCAGTAGAGTTTTTGATTTCTTGCCTGTTTGGTGCTGACTTGATTAATTCTTTTTTTTTTAAACTGGGAATGTTTAAGTGATTAGAGCACAATTGCTTGGTAAGATATTTGGAAATGTATTGTGTGCATAAAAATGCTCTAAACATCCTGAAAAACAATATTTTTTTTTAATTTTGAAGGAAATAAAACAAAACAATAGAACAGAACAGCAAGAACAATACTGTGTTACAGAAACAAGAACAAAGGAAATTCCCTATATTCACTATATTGCATATTGTTATCCTCTAAACAGATACTCAGATTACCAGCCCCAAGTCTGTAAAGCCAACCAGTCAATATAAGCATTAAGTTTTTTTTTTTTTTAACTCAGTTGTTATCATCCCTGTCTGTGTTCCTCTGAATCAATTGGTTGCCTACACAGGGGCTCTTCTTGCCTCCCAGTCTACATGCTGGCTGGCTGACAGGAATTGTGGGTTGACTTCTTGGTTCTTTTCCTCACTCACATGACTGCCACTGGCTCATAGGAAGGGCATTCTGATTTCTTCCTGAAAAAATATTTTTAAGTTATTTAGAATACATTGACCTCATTGTTTGGGTAAAAATAATCTAGCTGAGGAAAAACAAAATATACACCTGATTCTCTGAGACAGAGTGACAGACAATTAACTAGATAGATTAAATAAAAAAGACAAAACACTAATAGTTAAATTCAGAAATGAAAACAATAGCATCCCTGAAATTGACACAATTTGTAGCCAAGTTAGAAAATATACAACATGTCATTACATGAAAGTGGACTTCATCCTTGCAGAAAGTGTACAGGAGAATAGAAAAGAAAGATTACACTTAGCTTGACTTTCTGCATGTCCCACGGGTGGAACTAGACCTTGACAGTGGTAGACAGGAGAGTTAATTTCCTATAGGGTTATGTATAGGGTAATGAGTGATCATAGGTGCATTATAAGAAACAGCACTTAGATAGATTAGCAAAACTTTAATTGAGAGTAACTTCAAATGAATTTGGACAGACAAAGAGTTAGAATTGGTGTCTATCAGCTGACCGGTAAGCAGCAACTGCGATGTCCGCACACAATTTATTGTAAAGACACTTCATTCCCTTTGACATTCCTTGGCCATCTTTGTCAAAACTAAATTGATTCTAAATGTGAAGGTTTCTTTGTGGACTTGCAGTGCTGCCTCATTAATCTATAGTCCTGTCACTGTGTCAGTAATACAAGATAAGGCTTATTTACTACAGGTTTGTATCAAATTTTCTTTCTAAGGAGAATGGATTATAAGACTTTGTTGTTGGTTTTCAAACTGTTTTGGTGATTTCTGGGTCTTGAGTTTCTATATTAGGGTTGGGGTTTGAGTTGACAGGGTTTGCATTAAATCTGTAGATCACTTCAAGAAGTATTGTTATTTAGGAATTTTAGATAATATTCATATTCCTCACAGTTAACATTATTAATGTGTAAACCGTAGGGAAATTCATTAAAAGTTTTCTAGAACTACTGGTTCTCTTATTTCAACAATTTTGCATCCTTCTGTGAAAGCCTATCAAATACTACATTAATCATATACTTCTTCACATCCTTCTTCCACATCTCATCATTTAGTAACCTCCATCTGCTTTTTTGTCTCTATGGACTACTGTGCATAAATCATATCTAACATATATGACCTGTGCTTCTGCATTCTTTCTGTTAGTATAATGGTTTGAATGTACAAATGCATTGTGCCATGTTACAGGGTTTTGTGGGGCTTTTGTAACTGATTAATTTTTAATTTTATATGCACATGTACCACAATTTATAATTTTTCGTTGAATTTACCAGTGGAGTTGTCTGATCTCACATCTTCCTTTTATGGAAGTTTATGATTATAAATTCAATGTCTTGACTTGTAGGTGTTCAAATTTTCTATTTGACCTTGAGTCTGTGTTGGTAATTTATATATTTGTAGGCAGTTTCCTATTTATGTAGATAATCCTATTTTTTGTAGTACTATTCTTTGAAGTATTCTCTTATTCTCCTTTTTACTTCCGCAAAATCAGTAATTATGTCACAGCTGTTGTATGTTTATTTATTCACTGATGTCTTCTCTTTCTTAGTTTAATTGATAATTGTTTTCAATAATTAATATTTGTTTTCTGTGATTATTCTGTTGATTTGCATTTCTTTTCGGTTACTTTTTTCTGCTGGTCTGAATTTGTTTTCTTAGGTTATAGGTTACAAAGTCACATTGCTGCCTTAAGCATCTTTCTCTTTTTGAATATGGCTATTTATAGCTCTAAATTTTCCTCTAAAAATATTATCTGCTTAATGACACCATTTTGTTATATTGCATTTTGATTTTTATGATATCTTTTATCCCCCTCTTTTTTCAAGTGATTTTGTCTTTAACTCATTGGTGGGTGAAGAACATAATATTTAACATCCAATTTCTTTTGTTTCTGATTTCTAGGTGCATCTCATTGGTATCAGAAAAGACACTTTGCATTATTTTTGTGTTTTAAAAGCATTTGTGAGAAAAACAGGGCACAGCGGTACATATCTATAATGTCACTATTGGGAGGCTGAGGCAGGCAGATTGCTGAAATTTGAAGACTATTCTGGGCTACGTAGTGAGTTCAAGGCCAGGATCAGCCTCCCAATACTGAAATTATAGATATGTACCGCTGTATCGAATGTACAGAGTAACTTCTATTGTCCTATCTTCATGTTTTGTCTTCATTTCTTCTGCTTGTTCATCTCTGATGCTAAATCGTTCAACAAGTTAATTTCTTTGACCTATTGTATTCTGAGCTCAAGAGTTTTGCTTCTTTTTTATAATTTTTTATTAATATTCTCCATTTTTCATACTTTAGGTCTTGATTTTCTTTGTTATTTGATATATTTCTTATAAGAAAGAAATACATTTTTTATATTTATCATTTTTATATGTTGTTTTCTTCAGATTTTGAGGCTGTATGAGACATTTAACATAAAGATTTATCTAACAGTTCATATATGGGTGACTGGTGTCCAATTACATTTTAAATTATAAATTAAAGCTGATTAATTTTTAATTTTATGTTGTGTAATTTATGGATGAGAACTGGATTTAAATATATTGTAGTCTATTAGTTCATGGAATATGTTCTTTTCTGTCTTCAGTAATTACCATGGTTATTCTACAAAGGCAACAGTAATCCATTTATTTACTAACTTCCAAGTGATTTTCACAAAACATGCATTTGTTGTTATCTGTGATCACTTTCATCTCTGTTCTATCTGTCACATGTCAGTGAGACTTATGGAGATTTCTTTAAGCTCTTGCATTCAATAGAAAAGACAATGTCATTCTTTATTAAAAACTTCTAACTTAATACCACTGGAGAATTACTTAAATCCATGAAGACTGAAACAAAGACTAAGCTCTGTGTTAACTATTAACCATCACAAGGTCCAAATCTGAGTTCTGAAGTGAGAGTATCCTATTGATCAGCACAGTGCCCTGTCCCCAAATCTGCCTTCTTCAGGACTGAGGAATGATGACAGAAAGTCAAATAGGAGGAGCCAAATTTTATGAACAGAATGATAGTTTCTTAATCAAGTACTCTGTAAGACGCTACAAGTGCAGGCCCCTATAGTCACAATGCCATTTCTTCAAATGATTTGTGATGATAACACTGGCTTTGGTGGAAGGACCAATTGATGAATATTTTGATCAATCACATTTGGGAAATCACTCCAATAATATACTATAACAATGTCAATATTTGTTCTATGTTGGAATGTGTGTTCATTCATATAGTTTTCCTTTAATTTCTTTTAGCACTTTGGGTGTGTGTGTGTGTGTGTGTGTGTGTGTGTGTGTGTGTGTGAGAGAGACAGGGTCTCGCTGTGTAGTTCAGGCCTGCCTTGATCTCACTATGTAACGCAGACTACCTTCCAAGTCAAGGCAATCTTCTGGCTTCAACTTCATGAGTGCTAGAATTACAAGCAAACGTTATCAAACCAGCTTCTGTTAATACTTTTTATAAGCCTAGCTTAGTTATAATAAGCTATGTATCTGTGGCCACTAAATCTATAGGGCAATGAACTAATTCTTAAAATTTATTTGAAAACTGGAAGCAATCATAATGATTTATGAGTACGCTGCTTCAATATAATTTCAACTTGACTTTAGACTTCAGAGTCATTTAATTTGTTATTTCTGACAGAGGAATTGTCTTTGTTTAGAAAGTACAAGTGTTGAGACAGTTGAGTTTATTTTAGTGATGCTGATTATATGGTATTAGACCTATTGCAGGTGACCTGAGATTGTAAATTCACCATACTGAGTGAAAGACTAGCCAGAAAAATAGTACCATTTTATATTAAGGATCTATTCTGCTCACTATTTAAGTTGCTGTATTGATGTCTATTCTGTTTTTACATCATCTTCTCAGTCCTAAATTTTACCCTTGGTATCTCATTACCTGCATTCTTCTCTTCATTCCATTTGACAATGTCTTACCTTCTGTTTTCTTGATTTAGTATCTCTTCATCCTATGCATTCCTTTTCATTCCTCCTCTTTTTCCCTAGACCAAAAATCCAGTGGTCTCAAGTTTGCGTTAAAATCATGCAGATTCATCAGATCCAGGCAAACCTGTTTCCACTCACTATGAGTCTCTCTAGGTTTTAGTATTTGAATATTTTCATCTTCATAATGGGTCTGAAGGTATTTCTCAACCCATAGAAAGTTTTGCAGAGAAACATGATAGCAAACTCCTGAGTCAAGCTTTTACCATCTATCATGGCATAGTACTTGCTTTTTATTTCCTTTTTTCTTTTTCATTAGTACCGGGGATTAAACTCACGACCGCACACTTGCAAGGCAGGCGTTTATGCCACTGAGTTAAATCTCTGGCCCTTTTTTATTTCTTAATAAACAGTGTATTTATGTAATAAGAAAAAATATGGTTACTTGTGGTTTAAACATATTGGCTTCAGTACTAAAATGAGTCTTGTGGTGGCCCATGTCAGAAGTAATACAGAACATTAGAGAGTCAAGGGCCTTCCATTTTACTTCAGCATTTTTAGGATAGAGGTCTTTTTTTCTATGTTAAAGCCTGATGTTCCAATGTAAGATCTGCTGTATCTCCTCCCTCCTCTTTATGTTTTGAGTAAAAAGAAAAAAAAGAGAAGAAAATGGAGCAAATAAGTTTCTGTCTAACTTTTTTTAGGAAAAGTAAAATGTTCCATTGCTCAACTAGGTCCAAAAGCTCTCACAGATAGAAATTTTAGGGAGGTATGACATAAGGTGTAGAATTACATGTGGTATCCTGCCAGCCTCTGCCATGCTGTACTCTAATATTCACTCTCCAGGTTTTATATTGATCACTTTTGTAACATTGTGGGTGATATGGGATGACTGTAATGACATATGCTGACAAATAACTTGTCAGATAATAGAATCAAAATATTCCTAGGAAAAACACAACCAATGCTTGGAATTTACTTTTGAAAACTTGGTATCCACTGTAACTAATTTGTTTGTTGCCGGGACTGAAACAACAAGCACAACACTGAGATACGCTCTTCTGCTCCTGATGAAGCACCCACATGTCACAGGTAAGACAGTCTTCATGAGAGATGATTAGCAAGTGAATTTGAAGAGATTCTGGGGAGATATCAGTAGTGTGTTCTTGTTTGTCTTAGTAAAGCTTTACTATTTAATCTTCTGTGATCTCAGGTACATTCTGTCTACATTTGATGATAGGATTACAGAGGAGCACCTTTGAGCATAAAGGAATAATAACTCAAGAAAAATGAAGATAGTGTGGGAGCATGAGAAGTGAGAAAACTTTGGGGCAGTGCTGAATTTGAAGAAACTGATTTGTAGCTGGCACAGCCAACATAAACTGGAGTAGGGTTGGGTATTGAATTTCATTCCAAAAAGGCCCCTTTGTGCAGCATACCAAAAATAAATTTTTGAAGACACATTTCTTCATTCTGTTAGTTCTAATTATTATCTAGAGAAAATAAAATCCTTGGTGAAACATAAATAGATATCCTAGCATATGAGCCTAAGGTAATTCTACTGTAAGAAGTAGTCTATAAGTTTATATACATCCAAAAGGTGTTTTCATTTAGCAAGATGATGTTTTTCTAGTGAAATTATTGTTGTAGTTGTTGCTTTTATTTATAGAACTAGTGATTAACTCCAGAGACTTACATTTAGCTATCTGCCCAGAAATTTTTATTTTCATTTTTATTTTGAAACAGGAAACTGCTCAATTATAAAGTAAGCAGGCTCAAAGTTTCGATACTTCTGCCTTAGGCTTCCAGTGTACTGGGATTACAGGCATGTGCCACCAGGCCTGGCAAGGAATGTTATTTATTATTCAAGAGGTCTGTTCTATAAAACTTTTGCTTAACAAAATAAAAAGTGAGTGTACAATAAAGAACAAATTTACTTTATAAATTTACCTTTAAGAGTTTCAGTTATGCACCAGGTAAGAAATATCCTTTCTTTCAGCCCAGTGTCAGAATTTCATTTAAACAATAACATAATTTCTAGTGATAATTAGTTCTTTTAAGATATGTAGCAGTAGAAGATGCCAGGAAGTAGTCAACAAGTGTGCACCAAAACTTTGAAACACAGAGAGTAGACTGAAGGTTTTTTTTTTTAATTGAACATGGATGAGGATATTGTGCTCTAAATTATGTCAGAAAGGGAGATTTCCCAAAGAAGAAACATGACCTGTGTCTCTGCCATCCTTGTAAGGCTCGCCGTTTAGAAATAATAACTGTCAAGGAAGGCAGAGAATAAACCTGAAAAATGAGGCTTCCCTTCCTTTAATTGTCTGCACATCTCCACTCACCAGCTGACTGATTTTCCTGCACAGGAAAAGAGAGGTTTGTTCTTGCAAGATTCCAAGCCTATGAAACAAAGCCTATACTCAGAGGTCTGGGCAGTGACAGAAAGTGTGAGGCAAAAACTGTAAAGGAAATTTGGTAAAGGTCTACTAAACTTTAGAAAGCTCAGCCCTTTTGTTCATCTCATTGCCTGAAACTTGCCCGTCAATTATATCCTTTAGAGAGTGAAAGTCTTGTAGTGTAGACATTCATATTTTTCTATCTTAGAAAATTTGCTGCAAGAGTTCTGAAAAATGAAAGAAATTAAAACATTCAATTGAAGCAATGGGCCCTGGAATTTCAGATCATCAGGATCAAAGAGAAAAATAAAAACATTTCAGAGAAATATCCACATCATATGTGAAAGACTATTACTCAGAACAACACCATAATTCTCAGGAGTAATTAATATCTTCATTTTAATAAAAAGATACGTTAAGTCCTGTGTATTTGCCAGAAATGTTATTCTGTATTGTCTGTTTCTCAATCCCCCCTTACCAAAAAAAAAAAAAAAAAGGCAACAAACGAAACAAAGCAAAAGTGGAGGACGCGCTCTGCCTAACGCCTGGAGCCAATTTTGAGGAAGTCACTGACTGGCTCCAGCAGTTTCGAGAGAATATGGGGGAAGATGAGTGTCAGGGAAACCAGGAAATCAGGCGGGCCTACAAAACTCCCGCTTCACAGTGGAACACTGAGACAATGACCCAGGCATGAAGGGACACAGAAGTCTTACAACGACTTGGCATTGATTTGTCAGTGTGTGGATTTCCTGAGAATTTAGAAATAATTGTAATCTGAGAATAGTACTTTAGGAATTGCAATAGAAACAAGATTAAGCCCAATAAACTACCAACAACAAAACATTATTGTTGTGACCTTACCATTTATGAGCCAATGTTTTAAACAAGAAATATAAATATAGCTAATAATATAGTTGGAATTGAAACATGATCTGAACTTTTGTATGTTATCTAGTGTTTATGTGTGTATCTCTTTGCGGACATTGTTTATGTATAACGCACCAAGATAAAGGTAAGAATTCTCATCTTGCCATACAAGGAGGTAATTAGATATGGAAACCATTATAAATTAGGTAAAAAAGGAGCAGAGTGTAAAAAAGAAAGAAACATGAATATAAATTTTAGTAGAACCTGGTAAACTGTTTAGCGACCACATTTTGGATATGATAAGATGGGACTAACACACACAAAATGTACACACACACAGAGATCTGATGTAATTTCTTTGAAATGAAATCAAAATTTTTAAATCAAATTTTTAATAAACTTTGATAATTTATAAACCTAATTATGATTCCAAGTTTATTGTGTAAGAATAGTAATTTTGTCATTTTTAAAGACATAAATTACTAATATGCTGATTTATAATGTGTTGCATTAGTGTCTAGTTTTTAGAAGAGAGATTTGTGTGTATATTATCTTGAATCCATATCTAAATGCACTTTTGGGCATATAATCTATATTTTTAATGCCATTGGAAGCCTTCATCTTGTTTCATGTAACCCTGAATTGCTGTGAAATTGTGCCATTTTTGTCCTATCCCATCACTTTTTGTTTGTATCTTACCAGATAAGGTCCAGAAAGAGATCGAACGTGTGATTGGCAGAAACCGAACCCCCTGCATGCAAGACAGAAGCCGCATGCCATATACAGATGCTGTGATACATGAGATCCAGAGATACATTGACCTCGTCCCAAACAGTCTGCCCCATGCAGTGACCCGTGACATTAAGTTCAGGAACTACCTGATTCCTAAAGTGAGTTTATTTCATCTACTTGGACCCAAACTGTTCTTGCTGTTTGCAAATTTATGATACCAGTTCTGCCAACACAAGGTGACACAAGTATAAGCATTTCATGAGAGACAGTTGAGACCTTTATGTTGTTCCCAGGCTAGAAAATATTGATTTGTAACACATCCTTATCTCTGGTCTTGTGTGTAAACATTTGCTTTATTTTTGTGATACTTTTTCTTCTGAGGTATTTATACTTAGAAATTAATGTTCAAGCCTTAGCCTGATAGTTTTGCAAAGATTCTGTTATTACAAGGGTAATGGTAAATCCGTAGGTAAATTTCGAAAGAGTTGACTTTTTGACTCATTGAAACTTTCAGTTTATGAATTAGTTATATTTACTTGGGCTCCTTTATTTGCTCAACCTTGTTTTCAGTATAGTGTCTTGTTTTGTTAGATTTTTGATACAATGAAAACTTTTGTTGATGTGAATTTTAGAAATGCCTTTGCCTGTTCTTTGTTGCTGATATATTAAAATATGTTTCATTTTACTATTACAATGATCTTATATCTAGTAACACTGCAAAATTTATTACTAATGACCTATCATTTATCTGGAGTTGCACTTCAATTTTCATTATAGCCTTTCCTGATTTGGAGGTTATTTTTTATTTCTTATTTTTCAGTTCTCATGTGGTTAATTTTTTGTTCTTATTATATTGGCTAGGAATTTCAGGAGAGTGCTGAACAGAGTTAGTGGTATTGAACAAGCTGTTCGATCTCTGACCTGCAGGAAGCAATAGAGCTACAATGTCTCACTGCTGAGAATGATGTCTTAAGTAGAGTTTGATTGATGTGTATCAGGTTATTAAAATTTTTCATATTCTATTATTTTTATGTAAACTTTTGTCATGAAAGCATGTATAAATTTATAAGATCTATTTTTTATAACTGTTGGTATGATTGCATATAGTTTATTGGCTACATTTAAATATATACAATTTTCAAGTACATATATATATTTAAGTTTTCTGTGCAACATATTAGTCATGACTTCTCTATGTTCATAACCTATTAGTCCACATTTTCCTTCTGCAAAATTATCTGATCTGGTACCTTATATCAAGATAATGGAAAAGATAAGAGAAGAACTTTCTATTCTGTAGATATTTTCATTTTAATGACCACTTTGTTGTATCTTTCAGGTTCCTAATTAAGCTTTTATTATTTTCCAGATATTATTATGAAAAATACAGAATTTCAGATGATGTTTATCTTCTTCCAGAATGAGAGCATTTTGCACTCTTAGGCAGCATGATGACATGACATTTCCTATTCTAATTCAAAACTGAATTCCATTGCTGTCTGTCACACTGGACACCTTTTTAAAATAAAAAAAAATGATTTGTGCATATTTGCAGTTCATATAGTTTACAGACATCTTGGGTAATAGTAACACGTAAATATTACTGCATGTTTCTTTGTATTTCTTAAAAATCTCTTTCCCCTCCTTGTTTTCCTCTATCACATTTCCCATTTCTATTGATATTATTTTTCTTAGTTCATTTTATGGCCTATACCGTTTACAGTAAGTGTGGTTATTAGATTCATGTACATAGCATATCTTTATTCTTCTTATTCGTCCTTCCCTTCCTCACCTCTCACACTTGTTCCCTTGGATGACTTCTATTGCAAGACATTCATCTCTTTGTAGCTCCATTTATTCTTTATCATTTTTTGCCAATACTATGCCCCCTCAAGTGAAAGCTGTCATACCATATTCAAGCTATGTTAATGGTTTATTTCTCTCAACATTATATTTTCCAACATGTGTCAGTTTGTAACAATTGCCTCACATGTGCCATTCTTTGTGGCTGAGTAGTATTGTATTATATACAAATACCACATTTCTTTATCCAGTCATCCATTGGCAAGTATACAGATTGCTTCCAGGATTTAACTATTAAATTCTGCTGCTATAAACATTGGCATGCACGTGTATCACTGTAGTATGGTGGGTTTAGCTCTTTGGGGAAGGTACCTAGCGGGGGAGGCCTGGATCATATGGAATTTCTAATTTCAGTTGTTTGAGAAATCTCCATATAATTTCCTTAATGGCTGTACTAGTTTGCATTCCTGTTGGGAAGGAGGGCTCCCTTTTTACCACAGCCAGACCAGCATTTGTTACTATTTGGTTGATCAATGATTGCCATTCTTTCTGGAATAAAACGGAATCTTGGCATTAATTTGCATTTTTCTAATGGCCAGAGACCACATCTGAAATCCTGAGACCAGTTTTTGTCTTAGAAGCTTTGCTATGCTTTGTGGCACATATGTCCTACATTTATGAGGCATTTAGTTGCTATATTACAAATTACCTGCAGCTAAGATTAAATTACTTTTATAGTTAAAATAATAAAATTAAAACTTTTGTTTTCAAAGGGAACAGGTAATGGAATTGGTAAGGTTCCAATTGTTGTTTATTGTGTGGACAAGACTGAATTGATGATTTCAAAAGAAGTAAAGGGACTTGATCCAGCAATGAAGGTTTGGTATAAGGATTAGGACATCACCCTATCTACTTTTCATGAATGGACAATACCACAAGAAGACATTTGTCTATTAATATTTGCAACTAAAGCTAATGTTAAGGAATGTTGGGATATTTCCTATCTGACACATCAGATAGGGATTGCCTGTGCCTGAACCCAGTGCATCACTTTTAGAGACCTGCTTGTGAGAGCATTTTATCTGCTTACTTCATACCCACTCATGTCTCTTCTTGACAATTCATGCTGTGACTGGTGTCCTCTGAATGACAAAACCTACAAAATTTGAGTCCTAAGGAAAGAACAGTTCATATTCTTCTGGATAAAATAGTCTAGGATATAAATAAGTGACATAGCACAGGTGATTTCCCTTACAAGTCAGATAAATTGTTTCTTCTACTGTAAGCCAGAGCCACTGACATTAGTGGAGATGATGGTGTTAGATAGGAGTTGAAAGACTTTTATATAATGGATAAAAGTAAATATGCCAGGTGAATATGTCAGACTTCACCAGCCATGGACTTTTGCTGCCCTTTTAGACCTATGCTATGGTGCTACGTAAGGTTTCATAGACATTTGGTAGACCAATGGGTATGATCATAATCAATGATTTTGGAGACTAAAGTTTAAATTTTGGGTAAATTTTCTTGTCAGATAGTTTCTGATTTTTTAATTTATTTTTTCACCACCTATATCAAAAGGTGGCAGGCAAAATTTGCCTATGGTAAGTTTGTTCATGCGTGATATAAGACATTCCTGTCCAGCAGAACTTTCTGTGAAGATGTGAGGAAGAACACTGATCGGCATCAGGTGCCAAATACATACCCGAATCTTTTTCTGAAATGTTTTTTGTTCAGCTTGTACAATATGTTCAAAAAATATTTTAGAGTTTATTTTTATTTATAGTTTAAAGTATTATTCAGGATTCATATTTTTTCATTAATTTTTAATTCTTTAAATAACGTTTATTGAAAACATAAATGTTTTCATACGATAATGAGAGTTTTTCATATATTACTTGCTTTATTTCATTTTCTTTTTTTTTCTTTCTCTTAAAATATGGTTGTAATACATAATAAATCCATTCATTGAAGGACATATCCTAATACATATCCATTATATTTTGATCTTTTTTGGTTCTCCTTCCTTTTTCTTTCCTCTCCCACTTCAACTATCTCCAAAGGTTTTTCCAGTTCCACAAAATTTATCTCCTCCTCAAGGAAATAATGTTTTAGAAAACAAATTATAGGCCAGTTTTCAATGGTAAACAGAAGGGATAGAATTTTATTTTTCCTTTGTATTTAAAACAATTAAGATATAAATAAAATGAGATCATATAAACTTATTTATGTAAGAGAGTGCATATATGTTTACTTAACATCTGTCTGTGCCTCAACATGTCAGTATATATATACTAGAACAGGAATTTTATCTAAATATTAGAAATGCATTCATATTCAGGAGTTATCATTTATCCAATAGTATTTTCAATGTAGAGCCTATGTTTAGATTTTACTAGTATTTATCTACTTTACTACTGTTTTCTTTTGTTCAAGGTTCACTCAACTATTAGTACAGAATGGTGGTAATCTTGTTCCTGTACTATGTTGCACCCAGGAGCAATTCCCCTTCTTTGGCTCATTAAATTCTCTTCAGTATGTTGATCCTATTGAAGAGTCCAGGCCTCCATTCATTTAAAATATTCCTCAGCCTGATCTTTTGTGTATGATTTTTAGAGATCAGATTACCGTTATGATTTTGGCTAGAATCCTTTATATATACTGTGTTGTAGTCAGGGGTTGTGCGGAGAACAATTAGAATCAGGACATGGAGTTTATAACATTATTTTTATAATGGTCACCGGAAGTTAACACAAGAAAATGCAGGAAATCTATCCACAACACCAAAAACAATATTTAGTCAAGGCCTAAATCCCACAAAATGTCTCATATGAGTCCAGATGAAAACCCAAAGCTCATGACAATGCCTCCCATAAGTCCAACTGGAGGTCCAGAGCCCACAAGAAGGACTCAGGCCAGTCTCTTTTATGGACTCATGCCAGAAAGGCCCAAAGGTCAGTGGTGGAAGCCAGGAAGTCCATGCCAGTGGGGTGAAGGAGCTGTGCTGGTGGGGAGGAGGGTTCTACGCTGAAGCCACGAAGTCACACTCACAGCAAGACCAGGGCTGTCCTGCAAAGCACCATAGCCATCCTCAGCAACACGGAGGCCCAAGCTCCTCCAACAACAAGCACAGTCGGGTACATGCCAGGAAGCCAGCGTGATGAGTTCATCCTGGAGACCAAGCAACACACAACTTCCCCTTCGGAGCCAGAAATCAATGCTCAATGCAAGGACTAAAGCTTCTCCAGAACCAATGGCTCAAACAGCAACTCGTAGGAGAACCCACAATGCCTCAATGCCTCAACGCAACAACACATTTATGCCTTCCTTCTCCTTCTCCACCTCTCTATTTATGCTGGCAACTTTCCTCAGGTGGAGCATCTACACTCAGGGCCATGCTGATGTAATCCAGCAGGCATTAAGTTGACCACCAGTTCTTAATCCATAACACTGTGTCTGTTCCCTTCAGCCATGTAAGTGAAATAGGAACTCTAATGTTGCCTATGCCAGTACTGGCTTGCTAAGTTCCTCCTGTAATAAGATGGCATATGCCAGTACTGCGCACTGTAGAGGTTCTGCTTTTTATGTAATGAATGAAAATACATGGCATACCACTTCAAGATAGTACCAAATTCTGACTTTCTAAATCATTCACCCATTGTTTTAGCTTTAAAACAAGGTTCACTACCTGAAGTGATGATCCTGTCCAGAATTATTACAAAATAGTATTTCTAATTTTATCATTTGCTTTACCTTCAGATTGACTTAAACTGTAACAAAGATTTTCTCTATGTTTATAAATTAAGACAGACTGCAAGCAGTGATAAATCCTCAATAGTTTTATACTTGTTTTAGATATTGTTCTAGAAGAGAATGTTGTTAACTAGATAAGGTATTTATTTACAAAGCTTTGTGAACAGATAATACAGACATTTCCTGTGCAGACAGAGACTTTGGTTTAAATGTAATCCATGCATTGTGTGAAAACTGCAGCAATGAAATAGATCAACAGATGGGGACAGACACATACCCACATACCCTCCAGGATAAAGACACAAATGCAGAACTTCTGGGACCAAACACCTATTACTCATGATTTCAAATGTGATTGAATGGGCCAGGGATTCAGCTTAGCTGTGTAAGCACCTGCTGGGAAAGCATAAGGTTGTGAGTTCAATATCCAGGTACCACCAAAAAAACAACCAAACAAACAAATTAATGTGATCAAAGTACATCATTAGCAAGATAACTACCTTTGGTCTCAAACTCATCCTTGTTTGTTACAGATTCGTATGCTTTTCTCAGTTATAGATGAAATGATTTCCAAGGAATATTTTTAGCTCCATGACTTCCTTATAACTTGATTTATTTCTGCCTCTTGGTTACAGGGTACAACTATATTGACATCCCTGACATCAGTGCTGCATGATGACAAAGAATTTTCCAACCCAGAGACATTTGACCCTAACCACTTTCTAGATGACAGTGGCAAGTTTAAGAAAAGTGATTACTTCATGCCTTTCTCCACAGGTAATAGGAATTCAGTTCTCTGTGTGCTTCAGGGAATAAAATGGCTTTTGGGGGTCCATTGCAATTTACATAGTTCCTACTCTGAGGCTAGTAGATTTCCTGTTTATACATGATTAGGAGTACCCACATATTTTTTCCTGATAATGGTACAAGCTCATTATTGGACCTGATTAATGGGACTTTTGGAATTGACTATGTGTTTCCAAATTGAGAAAGCTAAAATTACTTCTCAGGATATATCGTCAAAGATTCCAGGATAGAAGATAAAACACATTTAGAACTTCCTCACCAACCATGAAAAGATATACCATGCCAAACAGTGATTAATTTCTCAGCAGTGTTGCTCACCTGAAAGCCTCATTATGCATATGCAAATATCTACAACCATAGAACAACACAACAGAGTCTCACACTGGCTGAAGGAAGCAGATGAGCAAACAGTTTATGTTAATTAATTAGAAATGTGATATAAAGGAGGGAAGTATTATTGCTTCAGGGCCATGTTCGGGGTGAGAAACTACAGGCTTCTTCCTCCCTCATTCTTCCCTATGTTGAGTAAAATGGCATAATCATCAGGTAAAAGCAGGAAACACACTTGAGATGTCTTAAAAGGGACAGAGAGAGTGGGAGGTGGAAAAGCCAAAAAATTTTAAGGGGATAATGGACCACGAGAGGATACTTACTCTATTACAAGTTGTCAGAACACCTGTCAAATCCCATGGGCTCACAAAAACATGGTGGACATGACATGAAACCATGCAGTTATCATTGAGCTCCCTGCTCTCCCTCCAGTCACATTCGTATGTCTGGAATATTGTTTCTCCACACTGGCATATATCTCTTTTAGATGTAAACCTTGAACTTTTTTTCTTATTTCCATAAGTTTTCATACCTGCTTTATATTTGACAATTCATACACTGTGATGAAAAGTACACAACCTTCTCTTTAAAAATTCACATATCAATGCAATAGGTAAATAAACCTGAAATTACGATTCTAAGTGATCTATTCTTCAGTAAAAGCATATATGATTTGGAGGAATTCCAGAAAAGGCAAGATTTCAGGGTTTATAAGGTCACAATGATAATAGAAAGGAAGTTAAATTTGACTTACATCATGGATGTATTATAAGAAAACTTCAAAGAGAGCAGCTTACATAAAATATTGGAGATTGATGAAAATTATTTGTGTCTAGAGCTAGGACTGTAAGATGTGCAGGATGGAAAGAAAGATTGTGGAGCATCAGACTTGGAAAACAAAATTTAGGAAGTAGTATTTCTAGAAAAATGTGCAAGAAAATCTGAATCATCCAAAGAATTCTTACAATCTAACAATAGTTATTGAAACTATTCATTTAAAGCTGATATGCAATAAGTACTTTTTAATAAAACCTGCATAAGGTCAAACATGGAAAACACTTGTCCACCCATTACCCATTCACCCATTCATCTATCCACCTGCTCATTCATTCTATTATCTGCCAAATAGTTCATATTCTCATTGTGCCTGTAACAAACATTGTGCTTCTTATAGTCCTAGTTTCAAACAAGGAATGGATCTATCCTGTGTTTCTCATTTGCAGGAAAACGGATTTGTTTGGGAGAAGGCCTGGCACGCATGGAGTTGTTTATATTCCTAACATCCATTTTACAACACTTTAACCTGAAATCAGTGGTTGACCTGAAGTACATTGATACCACCCCAACTGTCAATGGATTTGCTTCTCTACCACCATTGTACAAGCTCTGCTTTATTCCTGTCTGAAGAAGACCTTGTTTGCCTTCTTTTATGCCATTGCTTTGCAATTTCCTCCTTTCATGCATCATCCATATTCTTCATCCATTAGTGATGCTTTCCTCAATTTCTCTTCTTACATCTCCTACTCTTTCTACATGGACAGAATGCCCTTCCTCCATTTTGGAGAGTGCTACATGTTACATCATAAATATATCTTCTATTTCCTATGGTCTGTAATACTTGTATTAACAGTCGTGCTGCTAAATCTTATCCAATGCAGGATGATTAATGTCTTATTAATATATAACAGCAAAATGATAATTCGGTACCATTTTCTTTGTATATTATAATTAAAAATTATTGTGAGTTGCTGATTTATTGTCTATAATGTTCTTTATTGCATAACTCAGATGTGAAAAGAAAGAAAATAGAATGCAAATGCTGTCACAATGATATAATAAGGACAGAGAATTTGAAAGGAAGGTTGAAGAAGTTCTTGAGTATCACCAGGCATTATGGGAAGTTTGGTTCTGCAATATAGTATGTTCAACAGTTGCTCCAAACTGGAGGGTAGTATTTTTAAGACTCATCAAGAGAGAAGCATGATAATTGGTGTTAGAATCCATGTCCCATTTTGGTGTTTTCTGTGAACATAATATAGATAGTTAGAAGAGTACTTTATGTGTCTAAGTTGGAGCCATGTATAAATACATGCTTGCATATTGCAATCTTCTGTTATGTTATTCTCTTTTCCAACAAGAACAATGGATCATGAAAGCTACACTAGGTTCTGTAATTTTCTCACTGCCTAAACATTGTTTTACTGCCAACATAAATGTGATGCTGACTTGATGTCATAGCCCTGAAGTCATTAGCTTCCTCTCACTTCCAGGACATGCACAACTAAACAACTAAGACAAAATAGTCCTACTTATCTTTTTCCCTTCTCTCTATTTTGAGTTACACAAGTGAGAAATGAAATCTATCATTATTTTTTCTGTGTTCATCTCCCCTGGAAACTTGCTATGTCATGTATTTTTAATCTAATATATTAGTGTGTGACTGTACAATTATTATATTTACATATACAAGTTTGTACTTTACCACCACAAGTTATATATGTAAACAGTTATATATGGTTATTTATAAAAATAAGCTCATGCTACATGCTACTTCTACCATGCACTGCTTTTCTGCTAAATAATGTGTCAGAAAAGCCCCTCAATATATTATAAAAATGGGAAGTGATTGTAAAGAGCAGGTTAGAAGAGAAAATAAAAATGGTTATTGAAGAAAACAATTTGAAACTAAAAAAATGCAAGTTTAATGCATATTTGTACCATTTAATCCTTCTTGATTTAAAATAAGCTATATTAGTACACTACAAATCAACAGAAAAACAAATCATAGAAGTCACACAGACAAATTGAATGAGATAATTTTGAAAGAGAAATGAATCATTCTATAAATATTAGAGAAATTATAAAGTTGCAAGCATCAAACAATAATGGAAACAGTATGTCAGAATCTGTGACACAAAGAAGTTCTAAAAGGCAATTATATAATACCTATATTACAAAAGAGAGTGATCTCAAATAATATAATAAGCCATCTCAAAAGTCCCAGAAATATATGAAAGGTAAAACCTCTAACCATTAAAAGGAATGAAGTCAAAAGACCAGAGCTGAAGGTAACGAAATAGTAAAATAACAATACAAAATACCGATGATGAGTTTTTTCTTTATAAAGACAAACAAGATTGAGAAACTTTTAGCCAAGTTAAGAAAAAGAAAGACATCTAAGACTTAAATCTATACAACTAGAGATGAAATGGAAGACACTACAGAAGATACCACTGAAATCCAGGAGATTATTAGAAATTATGTTGAAATTTATATCCGATAATTTAGAAGCTTGAGAAGATATAAATTTCCACTTGAATATGATCTACCAAAATTGAACCAATAAGTTATATAAAAATGAAACATCAATTACAAGCAATGATATTCAAGAAGTAATAAAATCTCCCCAAAATGAAAAATCTAAATAGAATATATTTGATGTTGAAATTTATCAGGCCTTTAAAGAACAGCTAACACTAATGTTCCTCAAATATCTACATGAGTATAGAAAGGGATCAAATGCTTCAAAATTCATTTCATGAAGCTAGTGTCAATCTGATATCAAAACTGGATAAGGACTCAACAAGAAGGTAAAAATACTAATACCATCAATGAACACTTCAATATGATTTTTGAAAACATAATTCAACAACTATAAAATGCTCATAAACTATACCAGAGAAGCAAGAATGGTTCAGCAGAAATCAATAAGATATAACACACCACATAAATACAACCAAGAATAAAAATCACTTTATCATCTCAAGATGTAGAAAAAGTCCTTGAAAACATGTTTCTTCTTTATAAAACACCAAAAAACAGATATAGATTAAGCTTTCTTCAAAATAATACACATGGGTTAGATATGGGTAGCAAAATGTAGACAAACCTATTAATAGTGTGATAGTGAATAGGGGAAAACTGAGAGTATTTCCTCTAAAATTATGAGGGAAAAGAGTATTTATGATAGTATGTGAGATTTTAGCCAAAAATTTTGGCAGAGAAAGCGATAAAAGTGATACCACTAAGAAAGGAAGCAGATATTCTTATTTGCTGATGAGAGAATGTTTTCCTAAGATCCTAAAAAACTCTCCCCAAAAAACTTTAGATCTGATAAACAAAATTAGAAATTTGGCAGGACACAAAATATACAAGAATGATGAGGCTGCTGATAAAGAAATCAGGAAAACAATTGTATGCACCATAACTTCAAAAGTATGCAATAGCTTGGCATGAACCTGAGGAAGTGAAAGTCCTTTGCAATGAATTCTACAGAACACTGAAAACAGAAATTAAAAACAAAATGGAAAGAACTTCCATGCTCTTGTATCAGCATAATTAAGGTTGTTTAAATGTCACATTATCAAGAGCAACCTGAATATTCAATGCAATTCTCATCAAAATTCCCCTACCATTTTTCACAGAACTAGAAAAACAATCCTAAAATTCATATGGAAGCACAGAGATAGCCAAAGCAACCCTAAACAAAGAGAAATGCTGAAGGTGCACACAAACTGATGAAACCACAGCCATTTGATTCCTTACAAAGTAGCCAAAATATGCATTAGAAAATAATCTTTTAAACAAAAGGTGCTAGTATATCCACATGCAGCAACTAGATGATTATGTCTCACTCTATGTTAGAGTCAATTAAAAATGGAATAAAGACCAAGCCATGTGACTGAACACTTTGAGTCTTCTAAGTGGAAATACAGAGAAAACACTTGAAAGCACAGGCATAGGCAAATAATTCCTCAGTAGAACTAAAACACCACAGAACTACCAGCAAAAATCAACAAGTGGACCTAAAACCACTTAAAAAGTTTCTGCACAGCAAAGGAAAAAACAGCTAACAGAGCGAAGATGTAGTCTACACAATAGTATAAAATCTTTCCCAGTTTTTCTTTCAATAGAAGATTAGTATATAAAATATGTGAAAAAACTAAAAACATTAACATAAAATAACCCAATAAATCAATGGGCAAGTAAATTCCATAGAAAATTTTGAAAATAAGAAACACAAATGGCCAATATAAATATGAAAAATTGTTCAACATTTTTAACCATGAAGGACATGCAAATCATGAATATATTTGATCCCATCTCACTTCACTAGTCATAATGCTTATCATTTAGTAACACACACACACACCAAAACAAACATCAAACAAAAGAAAAACCATAATAAATGCCAGCAAGAATGTGGAGGAAAAGAAAGACTTCTATAATATTGGTGGGAATGTAAAATGTCATAGCTAATATTTAAATTAGATGGAGACTCCTCAACAAGCTAAAAACAGAAGTAAAGCTATACCACTCTTCAGCATACTCTAAAAGATTTAAAGGCAGCATATTATATTTAGTATCTATACTCATGCTTATTTTGGTACAATTCATAGCAGGCAAACTTGGAGACATCTTTGATGTCCATAAAGAGATGAGTTGATAAAGAACAGCTGTTACATATCCTTTGTGGAACAAAAGAAAAAGTAATCATGTCATTTGCAAGTAAATGGAAGGAACTGCAGAGCATCATGTTGAGCAAAATAAAGTTAAATGTTACACATTTTCTTTTACGTGAAAGAGAAGTAAATACAAAGAGATTATTAAATATCAAGAAGATAATTGGGTAAGCAAAAGAGATTTAATACAGTCTATGAAAATAAATATGTAAATATACCAATACAACAAAAAGAAAACCACTATTTGTGTTATTTATATTCACTAAGAAAATTAACAAAAAAGCTCTCAAAAAGCTCTCAACCCCAAATGGTTGGAGAACTTTGTTAATTTGATAAAGTACATCTACAAAAAACCCACAGCTAATATCACACTTAATTTGGAGAAACTTTAAAATTTCTGGTTAGAATTAAGTGCAATATTGTCATCACTTCTATTCAGTAATGTGATAGAAATATTAACTAATAATAAAAAACAAAAAAAGTCTACTGATTGTGAAAAAAGAAGTAAAACTACTGCTGATTAAAGATTACATAATTGTCTAAGGAGAAATTCTGGAAATCTCCTAGAACTAATAAACAGTGAGAGTAAATTTCTGGGAAATGAGGTTATAATATAGGAGTAAAATGTTTTCCCGTGAGTCAGCAACATTTATAGACTTTGGGGGAGAGAACAAGAAGTCACCAAGAATCAAGCCCTCCCTGCAAACTAATGCATGGACTGCTGCTGCCAGAGAAGAGCCAGACCTGAGCCCTTTCTGGTGCACAAGCTAGGAAACAAGATAGCCCATCACTCTGTAAGCAGCCAGCTGATATGAAAAACACAGGCTCTGATGGTAGCTTTTCAGGTGAAATGAAATGTGATGCTTGTAGTGTTTGGTGTTTCACTAATTGCACGGGTCTAGAGCCAGTGGTCTAATTATCTATTCAGAGGTCATCTATTCAGAGGACACAGAGTGGCATCTATTTGGGATCTTTTCCTGAAGGTGGCAGCCATTGGTAATTCCCTATTATCTTGTTTTGAAGTCTTGTGTCATTTTCACTGTTTTGGGGGGGTGGAGTTTTATTCTGTTTTGTTTTGTTGCATTCTGTTATATGCAATGACATAGGCACTATTTCAAAGACACCAAGATATACTATGGTAGTAATTTTGAATTTACTACTGTCTAGTTTTGAAGTCTTTTATGGTATTCCTTGTTTTTTATGGTTCTATTGTTTTCTGTTTTGTTTGATTTTTACTATATCTGAAGGTATCTGCAGGTATTCTGAAGACAATAAGAGGCATTATGGTAA